TCAAACGATGAACAAAATATGAAACACTCCAATTTTAATATTTTTAATTTTCTTCTATTTTAAAAATATTTTTTTTTTCCCTTAAAGTTTGTCGAATTTATTATGCTTAATTTAAGCCACGTAAATGGGAAGATGTAATTGTCAAGCATCACTTTCTCGCCTTGACTAACAAACAATTTCCTGTCAATATTTTCCTATCTCAATCTTGGCTCCTGACGAAATCACCTCAAATGTACTAATCAAGTAGGTGGTTACATTATTTAATATTAGGGTAATTACATTCATACGTTTTAATTACAATGAAAGTACTTAATTTTTACTCATTTTGATACTTATGTCCCCAATATTTTTTTGGTCGCATTTTTATCATTATCCTTCAATTAAAAACTTGTTTAACATATATATTTTTTTAAGAAAAAAATGATGTTTTAGAAGATTATGGTTAAAAGTATGTGTTTGGCCGAATATGTGTTTGAAAATAATTTTTTAACAATATTTAACGAACAAGTTTTTTGTACAAATATTATGCTTAAGTGCATAAAAAAGGGGGAAGAATAAATTTTTCATGTTCTATTTAGTGAAATTTTTGGATAAAAACCATTACGAAAGACATGACGTTCAAATTAATAAAAAGTTGATGATACAAGCGGGGGTGGACGCAGAACTTAAAAGTTAGGAAGACACTATCGAACTTGCAAAGAAATTGGAAGAAATTTTACAATCGAAAATTTACGTCCAAATAAATTATACCCCGTGTAATTTTGCATTCGAAAAATTTACATGGGATATGACCTTTTTAAATGTAAAATTTCAAAAAAAAAAAAAAAATTGTGTCATATTCCATATAAAATTTTCTAATAAAATGATGAAAACTACATTGAGAAATTTGTATTGCAAAAATAATAAATATTAATGAAATAATTGAATTTTTTTTAAAAAAAATGCGAGTTAAACGTCTTTCTTTAAAACTCAAGTTTAACGCATTTTTAACTATTTTCGATATCTGTTTGGATTAAATTTCAAAAAAAAAAAAAAATTGTGTCATATTCCACATAAAATTTTCTAATAAAATGATGAAAATTACATTGAGAAATTTGTATTGCAAAAATAATAAATGTTAATGAAATAATTGAATTTTTTAAAAGAAAATACGAGTTAAACGTCTTTCTTTAAAATTCACGTTTAACGCATTTTTAACTATTTTTTATATCTATTTGGATTATTTGATATGCCTATAATGTAGTTTTCGAAATAAGTTTTGAAATGATATGAGTAATTTGTAGATTCGATTAGCGTACAATTGTCGAATAATTTTTAAAGTTAGCATATTATCGAAATTTTAGAAATACTAATTTTGAACGGTTTATTTTGACAAGTCGTGGCATTTGTTCCGAGGATCGTTTCGTACGCCATTAATGAGGTAGAAAATTAGATCATGAACACTTCGAAATGATATTAAGAATACAATATTTCGTCTTTATTTGATTGAGAGTTAAAATTTTGTTAAAAGGCGAGAAAAATTAAAATTTATCGTGATTTTGCCCCTATTAAAATCAATTTTTTAGTAAATTTTGATAAAAAGTTATGCAGTTATGGATTCTATGAAATATGTTATTAAAATTAATTGTTAACTTTGATTTAAATTAAAAATTATATTTCAATCAATACCAAAAGTTGGGGGCACATGCTCCCAAGACTCCCAGGTCCGCCCCTGAATACAAGTGTAGAAATGAAAAAAAATGAGAATTTTCATTTTAATTAAAATGTTGCATAACTTAGGAGAAGTATGATGACAATATAATTACTTTTTATTTTATGTTATATTAATTTGTTATTAAGGCCCCGTTCGGGAGGGATTAAAAGCCAATTAAAATTGAAAATATGGCCGTTATTGGGTCCCACTCGTCTAATAAAAGTCAACAATAACGGCTAAATATTCAATTTTAATCNTCGTCTAATAAAAGTCAACAATAACGACTATATTTTCAATTTTAATCTGATTTTAATCCCTCCCATACAAGGCCTAAAAGTACAAGTATACTCGTATAATTCAAGGTTAACCTACTAGTTCGAGATTAGTTAGAAGTTACAATGAGTCAAATTCGTACTACATTTTGCAATTTCTATTTGTTTTCTGCACATTTGACTTGACTATGTAAATTCACGTAAAAACGTAAATTTATATTTATTAATATACATAACAGTCAAAATAGATAGGAATTGTGAATTAAATTTAAAAAAACGTGAAAAGGGCATGGAAGTCGGCGAGAGGCACATCAATTTGACTAAATGAATCGTGCCTCTATGGACTTCCCCATTAAACCCAAAACGTTCCTCACCTACTTGTCTCCATTTGAAATATTGTTATTTTAGTATATAAACGTGACAACTCACGTTATTTCATTCTCAAGACTAGTAGAAATACTCTGAATCTCGCCACAATCTGTCAGATTTACGATAATGTATTGAAATATCTCAATAAATTTGCGCAAGAGATATTCACAACCCATTGACTAGCTCCGTAGCAAGAAATGATGGCTTAAAATTTATAGGTTAAATTGAGTGAAATTTAAAACATGAATAATAAATTTTTTAAATATCATATACCGTGCCTTAATATAATTATTTCTTTCTAAAAAAAGATACTCATCTGTAGGCCAGTGTTGATTATAAGCAGTCTAGACGTATCGTGTAAGGATCCCATAATATTAATATTCTTAATTTGGTTGGCCAATTAAAATATTTTTTTAATATCATTCTTACTTTGAAAAATAAAAGGAGAAAAAAAAAATGATTATTTGACTAATTATAGTGTGGGGTCAACTTTGGCTAACAGCAGACACAAATTGAATGTTTAATTGAATTTTTAAAGTTAATTTGTTACTATTCTATGGATTCTTAGGGATATAATTAAAGATTAATTTATATAAATTAAAGATGCCCTAAATTGGATCTCATTTTGATTAGGAAATTAATTAATAAAAAATTAAAAAGGTCACGGAAATTCCTATGAAAGATCACAGATTAAACAGGCTCTGGCTGTCTGCTTCGTAATTAATTTTATTATTAATTAATAAAATAAATTTGTCCCCAGTGACAGGTACAGATCTAAGAACTTTATTAATTTCAAGAACATTAGACACGTGGGTTCCGGTAATTGCAGTCCAAATTTGTGAATATATGCAATTTTTTTAATTTTTGTTTTTTTGGAATTGAATCCCGTTGATAATAATATGGATCGCCCTAGTACAAAGCACGACATGATTGTAAATAATGTTCAAAGGATTGTTTGAAAGTGCTCAAAAGTTATTGCTGATACGTTTCATTGACAGATGATAAAAAATTGTATATCGACGGACTTTATTTCTTGTAAAATTTTCAAAATACGTGTTCTTGAAAGAAATAGAAAATGAAAAATGAGCAAATACCAATTATTTTATTTTTGGTGTAATGAAAGTAATGAAATATAAAAAAAGAATTAAATATCGATTATTTTATTTCTTGATAAACTTTCAATACAATTTCCTAAAAAAGCATAATTGGATATAAAATTTCTCCAATAATTTGGAAAAAAAAAAGCCTACTATTGGCTATGGTGCAATAAATCAAAAGACAATATATCTATATTATAAGTAATTACTAATTGAAAAATTCCAATATGTGACATAGAATAAAAATTAAAATGCTAAATTAACTTACCTAAAATTTCATGCACATTAAAAGTCACAAGTTATTTCCCTACCTAACTCATCCACCAAGTCAAGCACCATAAATTAACTAATAAATAAAATATAAGGACAATTATTCAAATCTTAATTCAAAATAAAATAAAGCATGGAAATAAAAAAACCCAAAGAGAAAAATATTGAAATTCTTTTGCAAGATGTCAATGTATGTGATTCTAAATTTGTCAAATGTACAATGCCACAAGCAACTTTGGTATCCTCCTTTAACTTAACATAATGGCAATTCTTTTGAAAAGATAAAGCAACAAAACTGACAAGTATAATGATATATATATATATATAGTG